TCCCGAGTAGGCATCCATGAAGCTCACCACCTCGTGCCTGAAAGTGGCACCAACAAGCTGATCTATTCTTGGCTGAAAGAGATTGTCTTTTGGGCAGGCTTTGTTGAGATCCATGAAATCAACGCATGTTCTCCACTTACTATTCGGCTTTTTCATCAAAACAGAATTGACAACCCAACTAAGGTAATGAGCTTCCCGAATGAACCCGATTGAGAGGACCTCATCCATCTCAACCTTAAGAGTTGCATAGTGCTCTAGGTCCATAGCTCTTCTCTTTTGGCGAACTGCTTTGACTTCACTGTAAATGTTGAGTGCATGACATATAACATCCGGGTTGATCCCGACTATGTCAACATAAGTCCATACAAAAACATCTATATTATGTCCGAAGAAGCTTATTAAATTAGTTGCGAGCTGAGGGCTAAGATTGCTTTTGATTCTCAACACACGGGTCAGCTCACTTTCGTTGACAAAAACCTCAGATAAAGTCTCAACTGGCCCATTATAGGAATACTCCTCTTGAACATGAACGTCGATACTATCTTCCACTAGACCAGGCTGGGGTTCGATCCTACTGATCGCTATCGCTTGTTCGAGAACACCCGCAAGCTTTCATTTCCCTTTACATGCCATATGCACTGCACTGTTATAACAGTCGTGAGATTCATGTTGTGATCCCCTAACTTCCCCACACCCTGTTAGAGTGGGAAACTTCATCTTCTGATAATAGATGGAGGTGACAGCCTTGAAATTTTGAAGTAGAGATTATCCGATGATGCCATTAAAAGCTAATGGATAGTCCATTACCAGAAATTTTGTCATTTTGGTCACTCCGGGGGTATCTCCCAAAGTGACCAAGAGGGAAATTATTCCCCGGGGAATTAGGTGGTCCCTCGTAAAACCATAAAGAGAAGTTGCAACAGGTTTTAGATATATCTCTTCTAATCTCATCTCCTCAAAAGCTCGCTAAAATAAGATATTCAAGGCGCTCCCATTGTCCACCAACATCCTGTGGACTTCGCACCTTCCTGTTTCAACCACAACAATAAGCGCATCCTCATGAGGGTGGTGCACTCGTTTCGCATCTTTCTCAGAGAAGGTAATCTCCTCTTCTTTGTGCACGTTGCTAGGTCGTGGTTCCAGATTCGAAACATTTAAGGGCTCATGTTGAGCCTCTCGAGCATATTTTTCTTATGCATTTCGAGAGTTTTCGGCTATATGAGGTACCCCAAAGATGGTCCCCACCATGTAAAGACCTATGCGACCTCAGCACCTTTTCCCATCGCCCTCTTGATCTTTCTCTCTAATAGGAGTTAAATTATCAACATACTCCTTGAAGTGTCCTTTTTAAATGAGGTCTTTAATTGTCTGCTTAAGAACTCAGCACTCATCGGTGTGGTGCCCATTATCCCAGTGGTAACGGTAGTATTTCTTGTCATTCCTTTTAGATGCAGGTTTCTTTATGGGTTGTGGCTCTCCAAGCAGATTAACTTCTTCTGACTTATCCAAAATAGCTAAAACCGATGCATTGAGTGGAGTAAACATATCTCAATCGTGATTGCGACGAGGAACTTGGGCATAGGATTTCTTGGGCTCAAATCGTTGCTTCTTTCCCTTTCTCTGATTGTCATTAGCCCACTTGCGATCAGATCTTCTACTACTCTCTCCCCGGTTTTCCTCCCTCCGACTGGGAGCATTGGTCGAAAGCCTAGGGTCATTGCGATTTAAAGTTGCCACCGAGTTTTCTATCCTCAGATATTTTTCTGTGAGATTGTGGAAGCAAATGAGGGAAATATCGTCCTCAGATTGTAGTTTCTTCCACTGGTTGGTTTGCCGGCGAACTCCAGCAATTATCAAAATTTGAACTGAGTCCTCAGGTGTATTAGCCACCTTATTCAGTTCCCTGTGAAATCTGTTAATATAGGACGAGAAAGGCTCATTCTTCTCATGTCGTATATTGTTGAGGTAACTTAATGGCATTGAGAACTTCTGATTAGCTTGGAAGTGTCTAAAAAATAACGAACTCATCTGCTGCCACGAGTTGATAGACCTTGGTGGAAGCGATCTGAACCAACATTTGGCGTGGGTAGTCAAAGTCACTGCTAAGCAGCGACACTCTCCATGAGGTCGTTAAACTCATAGAGGTGATCCTGCGGATCAGAATTCCTATTGAATGCCCTCATGTTGGGCATTCTAAATCTTAACGGGAGATGAACAGTCAAAACTGCTGGAGAAAATAGAGACATCTCAATAACCTGCCCTTGCTCGTTCTGTTGAGCTCTAAGTTGATCTAGAGCTAGTTGTAACTCCTCTATTTGAAGAAGCGGAGCCCTCTGGGGATCACTTTCTGCAATGTAGGTTCGTTCCCTATGATTGCGATTAACGAAGGACCGCAGGTCAGAACCTTCCCTGCCTTGGCCGAAGCCTTTAGCATGCCTTGACACATGCTGGCTAGAACCTTGTGAAGGCATTGAATGGCTTAAGAAGTTCTCCCTACCTCCGCAATGGTCAAAATTAACCCGTTGACGGTGGGTACTTCCCTTGTGATGATGGACTAGATCATCATTCCAGCGATGGTGGGAATCTCCCTACCAAGTACTCTTGTAGGGGTGCCCTTGCGATGTGGCGCGGGATGGCTCTTGATGCGACATACTGCCAAGTCGCAAAGCCACAGGTATTCTCCCTAGCTCACGACCAATATTCGCTGGCCCTTCAGAGTCTTTCGACCCATACTCAACCACTTGCCTTCTCTTGTCTTTACGCATTGTAGTGCGCGTGGTATGAGCTTTTGCTCGTTTCCATGCTTTAGCGTGACCTACAAGTGTTTTTGGAGGTGGTACCACCTTATCAGAGTTTGGCAGCACGACTTGATCCAAACGATCTAACCTTTGGCTTATCGTTTGAATGGTGTTGTTGAACCTTTCTAAATAATCCATCACAGTCGAATATGGCTAAGAAGTCGAGGGGATGTCCGTCATAGTACTTTGGGGAGGCGAAGTTACTTCGGGATAAGTAACCTCCTAAATGCCAGGAGTCTCCTCGTTGTTGGTACTAACACGCTTGGTTTCAAGACCACGAGCCATGAGTTTGCAAGTATAACTAATCAATCAGTTGAGATTATCGGATGAAGAGCTGATGTGAAACCTGCCCTCCTTCTAGGGCCAAATTGTTGATACTTGATTTTGACACCAACGACCTCGCACGAGCAAAATGCTAAGCAGGTCTTAGAAGTTACACGTGATTAATTTGAGAGTTAGGATAAGATTACAATAACATGCAAAGACTTAATAATAAATGACACAGTGAGAATTTTATAGTGGTTCGGATGCTTAAAGCGATTCCTACATCCACTGTTTTCTTTTATATAAGTGTTATTGGTTATTACAAGTGCTTGGTATTCAAATAGAATATTGAGCCAGTCTCTTTCCCGTGGGTTGTCTTTGCTATTTGTTTTTATGAAAATCAGAGATCCCGATTTCGTGAGGAGGAGTCTTCTATTTATAGCTGCTGAGTTCAATGTAATGATTCCAAGTCTGCAAGTGGGTAGGTGTCGTGCAAGTCTTTCCTTGCGTCTCATTGGCTAATAACTTATGAAATATTCTTAAATTATATGGGGCTTGGACAGGTGTGCGGACATCATTCATTCACAGACAAAACTTGAGCCTACTGAGTTGATGATAACCGTATTTTTTCTCTCTTGGGGCGACGTGGCAGGTCCTGAATGATGCAAAGCCTTCCTGAACTCTGATTGGTGCTTGCTGATGATAGCTTACGCCAACCCTTTTTTTTTAGGCATCACACATATAAACATCTATTCCACTACTCTTTTCAGGCTTGGACTTAGAAGAATATTAAAACGCAAGGACTGACTGCTGCTTTCTTGGTTCCAAAGCAGTAATCTCCTTAATAACCAGCGATTTGTCAGCTTCAAACTCTTCGTTCACCCTATCAATATTGAAGCCGCCGATGAACTGAAGAAGCTTGTTTTTATTTTTGAGCAGGACATAGTTAATCTCAGGAGGTTTATCTTGATTTTCAACAAACAAATTAAACACATGAAAACTTTCCAACTGTATACATTTGTTTGAATCTCTAAGAAGATTCAGTAGCACCTTCAAGTTATTCAATGAGCTCAAATACTTTACCCTCACACCAAAATTTGATCCATAACATAACAACTCTCCCAGCAACTTAACAGCCTGCCTTCTGGTCAAGTAATTATGAGATTCCAACAACTGTGAATTGTACTATTGGAAAAACCATTCATAATTCATACTAAGAAACTCACCCACAATTGATTTATGCCTCGTCAAAAGCTGTTTAAAAGTCTCTTGAGCATCTGAAGCCACATCAAAATGTGGGTTCTGAAAAGACCTGAAAAACTTCTTCAAGTGTTGCGATTCCAACACATATTTAGCCACACTCTGATGTCGAATGCATTCTCTTGCAATAGCGCCATAAGTAAGAGTAATCGCAATCCCATCTTCACCTACTTTATGTTCATACGCAGATATCAATATATCCAAAAGGTCCAAATTTTTTCCAAATACCCAGAAGCAATCAACTTGCATTCAACTTTTTGCCTCTGCAAATTCGTGATCACGTGACCGGCATCGCGTCGAAACCCTCTCTCTAATCTCGGAAGACAAACGATAAGAAGTCGGAACGTATCTTCTCTAAACTAAAGAACGCCTTCGTTAACGCTTCACAAGCCTTGGGATTTGGTTCTGTTTGATCGTCGCCAAAAAGAACCGTTCTCATCTCCAAAATCGATTTTCTCAGTTCAGAAATCTTACACTCACATAAATTCGCGTTCTTGTCGACGCGGATGAGAAGTTGTCGAATGCGTTTGGCAAGCTCCACCGGTGTCTTCTTAGTTGATTTCAGGTGGCTGAAGAGGCCCTTCATGGCTCTTCGTTATTGAAAAATTTGCCTTGTTCGTAGTGCAGAGTGGTTTATGATGCTGGGATAAGGGTTTATAGAAGATAAAGAATCAGAAATCAAAGAAATCCGAGTCCAATTGTAACGCGTGGAAGGAGAATTGTTGCGGTTATTTGTTCGTAATCTGATTTTGGCGGTGAAGATACTGGGCTCAATTCTTCATTATTTGGGCCAATAGCCCAGGCCCATACATTTTTGCACTTAGAAGGTTTTTAGAAATAACAAAATAATTCTGTTAAGATTTTAATTAACTCTTTGCAATCATCTAATCTTTAATTTTTATTCTCAAATTTGTGATATGAACTTTAAATTATATCATTAATGAAGTTGTTAAGAGCGTTGGTGTGATTTGATGAAGAACATTCAAATTTGCAGGTTAGAAAAATATTGAGTTGAGATTTGGACAAGTCACAATGTGACATGACATGTTTATTATGAAGGCAACTATAGTTGGGCACTTGGTGGTTCAAATTACAGCCTAGAGTAGACTCAAATTAACTTATTTATTTATTATTACTTGTGATTATAATAAAAAAAATTAATCCCCAAATTATTATTAAATGGTTTTAGCTCAACACCTAATTCTCTCAATATACCCACTTTTAAATATGAAATTATTAATATACCCTTAACTATATATGAAAATATAAATTACCAATTTGTCCCTCTATTTTTTTATTAAAAATAATGTTTTAAATCAATGAAGTTACAATTAGATTTTTAAAAATTTGAAACCTTTAAAATTACCAATTTATCCCTGTAGTTGCTGCAACGCATTTATATTTAAATTTTGTCAATTTAAATCCAAATAAAACTAAGTATCAACATTACTACATTCTTAAATAAGAATCCAGATTGTAAAATTATTGTGCATATGTATAAGTAATTTTATCAATTCAAACCCAATAAAAATAGGGAATTCAATACAAAGGAAGAAGCTTTTACAGTTTCTTATTCATTTCTCAAAATCCAAAAAAAATTGCTTTCACCCTCCCTCTTTCTAGCTCCTTGAAGCTTGATTTTCCTTTGCTTTCTAGCTCTGTTTTAAAAACCGGACCGGATCGGCCAGTTGGACCGAGAACCGGCAGCTTCTCCGGTCTGGTTTAGGTCTAGGGGGGTTTTTGAAATATTTTAAAATTATGAGGGTTACTTTGTAATTTTATAGGGGTATTTTGGAGATATATCAAAAGTTTAAGGATTAATTGGTTATTTCATTGGGGTATTTTTGGAATAAATAAAAATTTTAGGGACCAATTTAAACTTTTTTAGGGGAATTTTTGTAATATATTGAAATTTAAGGGGTTAAAATGTAATTTTTTAAAAATAAAATATTGCTGACATCATCGGTCCGACTGGTTGACCCGTGAACCGGACAGCAAAACGGTTTGCCCTCTGGTCCGGGTTTTAAAACAATGCTTTCTAGATCTTCAAAGCCTTCTTCACAATCCTTTGCTCTTCCACCAAGAAAGCTCGAATTTCATGTATTAATTTCAGTCGAAATTACCATTACCTTTGCAACTACCTTAGGAGGCTGTTCTCCATTTAACTTAGAGTCAACGAATTGCTTCACCTTATCTTCACTAAGTTTTGGAGTTGCCTAAAACAATCCACAATTGCATAAAAATAAGCTTGAATGAAGCTTACACATATGTGAATTTGTTATCTATCAGTATAGAGAATAACAAAATAGAAAAAATAAGTATGTTCCAAAACAAGTTAGTGCTAGAAAAGAACAAAGATGAAGTTCATACCCATGTCACAAGGCTCTGCTGCTCACGCGACAGAGTATGATCAACAAGCTTCCGCCCAGTTAAGAGTTCCAGTAGGACAATTCCAAAGCTATAAACATCACTCTTTGCACTCATCTGTCCTATCATAGTGTATCTACAATCCAAAATCAAATATTAAGGCCGAAGTATTTATAAGTGCTTCAGGGAAAAAAAAACAAAAACAAAAAAGGAGACATAATTTTCCAAACCAAGGTTTTAAGCGTACCAATCAATCTGACATTCTTTTCCTATTTGTTTCATCACTTTTAACTTCACTTCTCCAGGAGGGGTTCTGACATAGTTTCTCGACTAATTATAAGCAAAACCAAGCACTATTAAGTCATATGAAAAGATACTATGATACACCAAACATAGCATAATATGAAAAATGTTCTTGCATGTACCATCTCTATCTTGATAACATGTTTGAAGAGAAGCTCTATGATAGTATAAATGTATATCTAAAAAAATGAGATATCTACAAATTACGAAATCATAAATCTTTGATTACCATGGGATTTACTCCATAATTAGGTTGCAGATACACAATCTTTCTCATATTTTTTTCTCAAAAATATTCCTAATTGCCACTAGTTCTAGAATTTCTAAGGACCTTGGGAAGGCAAATATCACACTAGCTTTCCATTTGCAATGATGGTAAGTCTGGCCGCTATTAACTCAAAAAATAGCTCAATGAATTTATTTGCAGCTAAAACATTTTGTTCTTATATTACATGTTCAACCTATAGCGTTAAATTTTTAACACAAACTTTTAGGACTATCTTTTAAAAGCAAAATGAGGGCAAAGATAGATCTAGGAATAAAGTTTAGGCGGAGGGAGAAGTTGGGGTTGGAGATTAAGGAAATCAAGTGTTTAGATACAGCTTTAAATTTGACCAAGGATTTGATAGGGAGGCAAACAAATATTTCAATTAGAAGGTCATAATTGTAGGCGATTTTTTCGGCTGATGATGATTGGCATTGGTGAGAAGAAGAGGAGGCTATAGATTTAGTAAAGTCAGCTATGGCTTTGTTTGTGGAAAGCATGATTGAGCATATGGTGGGAAAACTACAATATATCCAGTGCGATAATTAATCAAACACTTAGAATGCGGAAACAACAGTAAGAAATCCAAATAAGAAGCAATGATCAACAAATGAGGAGATAATAAAAACACTGAGGGACAGAAATAAACAACACAATGAAAACACGAAGTAATGTGATTTACAGGAAAATATACCTAAATCCGCAGGTAGTGATAATCCTCATTATAGTTCTACAATTTCAAAGAAACCCTAGATTTTTCTCCACACAATCTCTTCTCTTGCCAGTCACCAACCGTAAGCCGCCACTCGCCAACCCTAAGTCGCTAATCGCTGAGAAAAAGGAGAAAAGGAAAATGACTTTTCGTTAGTCAACAACCCTAAGTCGGCATTCGCCAACCCTAAGTCGCTAGTGCTTAAGTTACTGAGAACAGGGAGGGTTACAGACTGTAGAGAACAAGGAGAAAATGCTTCTCCCTTCTTTTTTTCTAAGTACTTTAGTGGGACATGTGGCAACCATTCAGGCAAAGTTTCCATTTTTAAATTTTGATTTTTAGAGCTTCATGTAAATAGACCATCTTACCCTTCTTCAGAACAGATTTGCCTAACGGAACATAACGGTGGGTGGGAAAGTGTCGTTTTGAAACTTTATGGGTGGGAAAGTGTCGTTTTGCCAAACCTTGAGTTGGAAAAAGTCGTTCTCCCTTAAAACATATCCTTCCTCCATTAACAGTGTTATAAGAGAAGTTAATAATGTGGCGTTATGTGTCACTCTAATCATCTTTTTTATGCATATTTTATCATTGAATCCTCAGGGGAGGTAAATGTGATTAACCTTTAATCTTAATAAGTGATATTTAAAATGATTGACATGAATAAACGTTATAGTACACCAAATGCATGGAAGACTTTTTCCGTGTATGTGGATTGAAATATTATTATTAATTTTTTGCAAACATCCTTACAATAAATAAGTGTTAATCACTAATTGGAAATTTGAGATTATTTTAAACAATTGATTTATGAACCGAAAACCTTAAAACATCAACTTAATATAATATTTGACATGCAAAAGAATCCTTAAAACATTTGCAATATTTAAATTGGAATTATAATTCAATAGATAGTAGATAGAAAAATTTGTGTGTGTTTAGAATTGTTGTAATTTAAGAATAATCAATTAACTTTTAAGCTAAGATAATAAAAGTTTTTGGTAAACATCTTTTAAAATCATATTATTTCTAAAGTTGATTTTTAGATTGTAAAATGCCAAATATACTCATACCATCGTTGATTGGTCAAAGTGGTTTTCCTTGGAGATGGAAAATTTGCCCACTAGGTTTTATCAATTTGCAATTTTTTTTTCACAATTATGGTAGCACGTTAAAGCCACAGCTAGTTTTGTTGAGATCGAAAACTTTTGATCTTTCAGAATCCAGTATTTTTACAGAATCTCGAAACTTATTTTGGTTACACAAGATGGTAAAATATTCGGCCGCCTTCTGTAACCTAAATATCATCGAAATCCGATGAAATCACAAATTCTTGTAGATCGTGAGTTTTCGATTCTGATGGGATCGGCTATGGCTCCAATCCAATATTTTGAATTATTTTTGAATTAATAATTTATTTAATATAAATCATTTTAATATATTTTAAAATAATTATCAAACTATAAATTTAGAATTATAAAAATATTTTAAAAGTAAAATGTCTTTTTTGTCATTATCCACACTATTGCAATTTCAAAATCTAATTTATCAAATACACAGTTAAATTTTTTTTAAATCACAGCAATTATAAAAATAATATCTGTAATCCTTTATTTTTTTATATAATTAGCAGTTACCCAAAAAAAAAAATGTTGTATTTACCAAACACGCATTAAATCATTTTTTAAGTTAGGAAAAAACTAATTAACTTAAAGTTACAACAATCTCAAACAGGCTCAAATTCTAGTTCGGACAATCAATTACTCATTTTAAGGATTAAATTATTTAAATTTAAGTTTATAACATTAAATTTTTAATCATTCATTCATTCGTTCGTTATAATCCCGATGGTTTAGAAATCAAAACTATATATTACAGTAAATCGATAATAAAATTCTTATATCATACATTTGAAATTATAATATAAACTAATTTAAATTGAAATTCCTTTATAAAAAATAAGTTATGTTAGATTTTTTTACAAACTACAATATATGTTTCACCCAAGGTTTGGTGAAATACCTTTGCCACCCATCAAGTTTCAAAACGACACTTTCCCACCCACCATTATAATCCGTTAGCAAAATCCGTTACTATTTGGTTGTAAAGACGAAAATATCCTTTATCATTTGATTTAATATTTTTCTTATTATTTTGTGTCATGTCAACAGTTCAATTACCAATATACACACTCTTTAAATATAAGATCATTGATATGCCCTCTGTTATATACAAATGCAAGAACGTAAATTACCAATTTATGCCTCTAATTTTTTTTATTAAAAAAAATATTTTACTATAATTTAACCAAAATTTATATACAATTTTTTTTCACAAACTCAAAAAACACAAGATCTACCAACTTTCAACAAACCCATTAAAATTTTCAAATGCGATATCAGAACATCCATAGCACTATCAAATTACAAAAACAAAACTCTCATCACCTGCTTCATCACTCTATTCAGTATCCATGCACAAAAGTACATGTAGGAAAATACAAACACAAATGACCTCGCACTTTTATTCTTATCAAAGGTTAAAATATTTCAACCAAGCTTAGCAGATTGAATAGTTACACCACAGAACAAAAAATTGAGAATAGTAGCTGCAACTTAACAATATAGAGGGTGTTGGGTGGGGTTTTTTGGTCGAACGGGTAGTCTTAACTGTGAAGGGGTTGGAAATCGCGGAAATCGCCCAAATGCTCCACAAAGTAAAAATAAAAACAACGCTTCAAAACCAAATTAAACTCCACAAAGTCAACAAAACAATCCACTTTCAACCGTCAAACACGAACTTCTCTAAACAATGGCGACAAAGGCAGGGGTGGGGGTGTGAGATGACGGGGAGTAATTGGTGGGGGACGATGAGGCAGATGGAGGTGGCGGCGGATGGCGGGGGGGCTGGATGCGGTTGCTCGCAGTTGCGGGGCGCTGCAACTACGAAGGAGAGTGGAGGTCTTTGAGGCGACGACTCGGTGGAGAGGTAAGCAGAATGGGTTTGGGGCAATGAAGAGCTGGTGAGGGAGGCTGGCAGAGTCGTTGGAGGCGGCGAGAGAGGCGGGTTGCGACGCCAGTAGGAGGCCAACTTGTGACTGAAGGTTGCAACGTTGCCAGCCCAGCTAGTGGTTGTAGGTTACGCCGGCGTTACAACCTCCAGCTTAGGAGGAAGAGATGATGGCGAAAAAAAAGATAAGGAAAAAAAAAAGAAAGAGAAAAAAAAGAAAAGAAAAAAGAAAAGAAAAGAAAAGAGAAAGGGAAAGGGAAAGGGAAAATTTACACGGACCAGATTTCAATTTTAAAATTTGGATTTATGAGGTTTTAAGTAAAATTGACCATTCTACCCTTCTTTAGAACGGGTTTTTCTAACAGAACATAACGATGCGTGGGAAAGTGTCGTTTTGAAACTTGATGGGTGGGAAAGGGTTATTTTGCCAAACCTTGGGTGGGAAAATGTCGTTGTCCCTACAAAAACGAGGGATTTTATTGAAAGACCATTTTAACTTAAAATTTAATTAAAAGGTTATAGAGTTTGTAAATTTTAACTAAATGGCCTTGTTTTTTATTAAGCTTAATTAAACATGATTAGGGGGTTAATTAGGATTAATGAATAATTGTGTAATCTTTTAAAAATTATAATAAGTCTCCAAAGAGTTAAAAATCTTGCAAACAAACCCAAACACCTTCTTCTTCTTCCTCCCGCCATTAACGCATCCCTCCCCTGGTTGTTTTTTCTTCTAAGCTTCGTCGACATCTTCTTCTTCTTCTTCTGCATCTTCTTCTTCGTCTACATCTTCTTCTTCATGTACATCTTCTTCTTCCTTCGCCATTAACACATTCTTCTTCCTCCACCATTAATACCTTCTTCTTCCTCCGCCATTAACATCTTCTCTGCCAAAGATCTGCCTCTTCCTACTCCTAACATTTCGTCCAAGGATGTATATCTCCTCTTTGCATTTTATATTTCTATTTACAAAGATTTAATGATGGATTGTGTTTGGGTTATGATTTTGATTTAGTGGTTTAGGTTCTTGGATTGTGTTTGATGTAATGCAAGTTGAAATAAGTGAGATTTGTTGATGATTTTCTTGCATTGTGCGTAGCTGGGGGTGGTAGCACCGATTATAGGTGAAGATGACTGAAAATGCATTCTGGAGCTAATGGATCGCTTAAGCGAACTGGTATATTGCTTAAGCGATCTGGTATAAGTCTGGTATATGGCAGCAGATCGCTTAAGCGATCGGGTATATGGCAGTAGATCGCTTAAGCGATCAGGCTTATTTATACTAGATCGCTTAAGCGACTCTGCAAATATTTTTTAAAATCTATCTAACCCTTAATATATCGGTTAATAACTTATTAGCGATCGCTTAGTGAATTTTTTGATATTGTGAACGTTTGAGTGAGAAATTATATTCTGTAATGTTTATTTAATACTTAGTCATTTTTTATTAATTATTTATTATTATTAATTATCTTTTCCATTTCAATAGAATGTGAAAAGAACACTTCGGTCTTTGTCGATCAACACCGTACATAAAACTGAAAGATCTATTGTTATTCTATTATTTTTGTTAGTTCTTGGCAAGAAAGTAATATAAAAAAAAAAATATAATATTGATATAAAATTGAACTCTGCAACCATCTGCTATGCACTCTGTAGACCAAGGCTAAATAGACGGGATCGCTTAAGCGATTAAGGGTAATTTACTTCAATATTTCATTTCCTTGTTTATGGATATATGTTTAATATAGCCGTAAAAGAACTAATTTAATTAAAATATAATAACGGTCATGGTCCATTGAACGAATCGTACACCTAATATGTTTAATATAGACGTAAACATTCTACACCATATATGTTTAATATAGCTGTAAAAGAACTAATTTAATTAAAATATAATGGTCATGGTCCACTGAACGAATCATACACTTGATATGTTTAATATAAACGTAGACATTCTACACCATATATGTTTAATATAGCCGTAAAATAACTAATTTAATTAAAATATAATAACGGTCATGGTCTACTGAACGAATCATACACTTGATATGTTTAATATAAACGTAAACATTTTATACCATATGTGTTTAATATAACCGTAAAAGAACTAATTTAATTAAAATATAATAACGGTTATGGTCCACTGAACGAACCGTACACCTGATATGTTTAATATAGACGTAAATATTCTACACCATATATGTTTAATATAGCCATAAAAGAACTAATTTAATTAAAATATAATAACGGTCATGGTCCACTGAACGAATCGTATACCTTATATGTTTAAGATAGCGTTAATTGCTTAACCGGTCTAGTGAAATACAATAAAAATAATCCGAATACACTGGATCGCTTAAAAGATTTCATTTCTCACTTAAGTGATCATGTGTATTTAGACTTAGTCGCTTAAGAGATTTGGTTGTATTTATGTTATCGCTTAAGCGATTCTACGCTTTTACACTTGGTCGCTTAAGCGATCACGAACAAGATAGAATCAATAAGTGCCCAAACGCATGATCGCTTAAGCGATTTATTCTATCGCTTAAGCGATCCTTTGCTTTTAACCTTGGTCGCTTAAGCGATCATGTCTGAGGCAGAATAAACTTCTGCCCAGATGCACGATCTCTTAAGCGATTAAGTGTATTGCTTAAGCGATTTTTCGCTTTTACTGTTGATCGCTTAAACGATCACGAACAAGACAATAAATAAGTGTTCATACGCATGATCGCTTAAGCGATCCTTTGCTTTTAACGTATAATCACTTAAGCGATCATGTTCGAGGCAGAATCAACTTTTGCCCAGATGCACGATCGCTTAAGCGATTGTTCGCTTTTACTCTTGGTCGCTTAAGCGATCATGTCCGACGCTTGATACCGCTATGATTTTTATGGCACCAAGGACCATGGTCAATTACAGTGACGGCAAGATCATCACTGCACCATCTTCCGGCTCAGGCTCCTTCCCATTTGAAGAACAATACATCACTACCACAAACAACCTCTCTACGACCTCCCTTGGCTTCCCCGGTCCTCTGGAAGCCTAAAACACCCACTCTTCTGATGCCCTCCAACTAGTTGACAAAATGCAACAATTACCCTAACAACAACCACCAACCAAATATCCCCAAATTAACACCAACAACCAATAATTTCATCTTCTTCCACCTCCTCGTTGGAATTTGCGTCAGCGTCCTCCTCTTCAGTTTCAATTTCAACTTTTGCCCTCCCTTGTTCTGCCAGTAGAATGTTTTTTGTCGGTGCCGTCTCCTCTCCTGGTGGACCAACTTCAGTCATTGGAAGTTGCTCCACTGCAACTTCTTCTTCTCCATTTTTGGTAGACCTAGTGGTGCCTACAATTTGGGGAGTGGATGAGTTTTTTTTCTGTTTCTTTGATGATCTCAACCATTATAACTTAAACGAGAATGTGAAGGAATGAAAAAAATGCAAAGAGCAAAGAAATTGAGAAATTGCAGAAAATTGGAAGAAAAAACGAGAGAGAGGAAGGTGTTTGAATCCTGTTTTGAGAAAGAGAAGCTGAGAGAAATGTGTTTTGCTTTTCAAATTTTAAATCAACTTCTCTTTATTATACTCTAACCCACAAATGTTTAAATCTTTTTACCCTAATCTTGGGAAAGTGTCGTTTTGAAACTTGATGGGTGGGAAAGGGTTATTTTGCCAAACCTTGGGTGGGAAAATGTCGTTGTCCCTACAAAAACGAGGGATTTTATTGAAAGACCATTTTAACTTAAAATTTAATTAAAAGGTTATAGAGTTTGTAAATTTTAACTAAATGGCCTTGTTTTTTATTAAGCTTAATTAAACATGATTAGGGGGTTAATTAGGATTAATGAATAATTGTGTAATCTTTTAAAAATTATAATAAGTCTCCAAAGAGTTAAAAATCTTGCAAACAAACCCAAACACCTTCTTCTTCTTCCTCCCGCCATTAACGCATCCCTCCCCTGGTTGTTTTTTCTTCTAAGCTTCGTCGACATCTTCTTCTTCTTCTTCTGCATCTTCTTCTTCGTCTACATCTTCTTCTTCATGTACATCTTCTTCTTCCTTCGCCATTAACACATTCTTCTTCCTCCACCATTAATACCTTCTTCTTCCTCCGCCATTAACATCTTCTCTGCCAAAGATCTGCCTCTTCCTACTCCTAACATTTCGTCCAAGGATGTATATCTCCTCTTTGCATTTTATATTTCTATTTACAAAGATTTAATGATGGATTGTGTTTGGGTTATGATTTTGATTTAGTGGTTTAGGTTCTTGGATTGTGTTTGATGTAATGCAAGTTGAAATAAGTGAGATTTGTTGATGATTTTCTTGCATTGTGCGTAGCTGGGGGTGGTAGCACCGATTATAGGTGAAGATGACTGAAAATGCATTCTGGAGCTAATGGATCGCTTAAGCGAACTGGTATATTGCTTAAGCGATCTGGTATAAGTCTGGTATATGGCAGCAGATCGCTTAAGCGATCGGGTATATGGCAGTAGATCGCTTAAGCGATCAGGCTTATTTATACTAGATCGCTTAAGCGACTCTGCAAATATTTTTTAAAATCTATCTAACCCTTAATATATCGGTTAATAACTTATTAGCGATCGCTTAGTGAATTTTTTGATATTGTGAACGTTTGAGTGAGAAATTATATTCTGTAATGTTTATTTAATACTTAGTCATTTTTTATTAATTATTTATTATTATTAATTATCTTTTCCATTTCAATAGAATGTGAAAAGAACACTTCGGTCTTTGTCGATCAACACCGTACATAAAACTGAAAGATCTATTGTTATTCTATTATTTTTGTTAGTTCTTGGCAAGAAATAATATAAAAAAAAAATATAATATTGATATAAAATTGAACTCTGCAACCATCTGCTATGCACTCTGTAGACCAGGCTAAATAGACGGGATCGCTAAGCGATTAAGGGTAATTACTTCAATATTTCATTTCCGTGTTTATGGATATATGTTTAATATAGACGTTAAAAGAACTAATAATTAAAATATAATAACGGTCATGGGCCACTAAACGAATTGACACTGATATGTTAATATAGACGTAAACATTCTACACCATTAGTTTAATATAGCCGTAAAAGAACTAATTAATTAAAATATAATAACGGTCATGGTCCATTGAACGAATCGTACACCTAATTGTTTAATATAGACGTAAACATTTAACCATAATGTTTAATATAGCTGTAAAAGGAACTAATTAATTAAATATAATGGTCATGGTCCCCTGAACGAATCATTACATGATATGTTTATATAAAGTAGACATTCTACACCATATATGTTTAATATAGCCGTAAAATAACTAATTAATTAAAAATAATAACGGTCATGGTCTACTGAACGAATCATACACTGATATGTTTAATATAAACGTAAACATTTTATACCATATGTGGTTAAATAACCGTAAAAGAACTAATTTAATAAATAATAACGGTTATGGTCCACTGAACGAACCGTACACCTGATATGTTTAATATAGACGTAAATATTCTACACCATATATGTTTAATATAGCCATAAAAGAACTAATTTAATTAAAATATAATACGGTCATGGTCCACTGAACGAATCGTATACCTTATATGTTTAAGATAGCGTAATTGCTTAACCGTAGTGAAATACAATAAAAATAATCCGAATACACTGGGATCGCTTAAAAGATTTCATTTCCACTTAAGTGATCATGTGTATTTGACTTAGTCGCTTAAGAGATTTGGTGTATTTTGTTATCGCTTAAGCGATTCACGCTTTACACTTGGTCGCTTAAGCGATCACGAACAAGATAGAATCAATAAGTGCCCAAAGCATGATCGCTTAAGCGATTATTCATCGCTTAAGCGATCCTTTGCTTTAACCTTGGTCGCTTAAGCGATCATGTCTGAGGCAGAATAAACTTTGCCCAGATGACGATCTCTTAAGCGATTAAGTGTATTGCTTAAGCGATTTTCGCTTTTACTGTTGATCGTAAACGATCACGAACAAGACAATAAAAAAGTGTTCATAGCATGATCGCTTAAGCGATCCTTTGCTTTTAACGTATAATCACTAAGCGATCATGTTCGAGGCAGAATCAACTTTTGCCCAGATGCACGATCGCTTAAGCGATTGTTCGCTTTTACTCTTGGTCGCTAAGCGATCATGTCCGAGCTTGATACGCTATGATTTTTATGTGCACCAAGGACCATGGTCAATTACAGTGACGGCAAGATCATCACTGCACCATCTTCGGCTCAGGCTCCTTACCATTTGAAGAACAATACATCACTACACAAACAAACTCTCTACGACCTCTTGGCTTCCCGGCGCTTGGAAGCCTAAAAACACCCAACTCTTCTGATGCCCTCCAACTAGTTGACAAAAAAAATGCAACAATTAAACTAACAACAACCACAACCAAATATCCCAAATTAACACCAACAACCAAATAATTCATCTTTTCCACCTCCTCGTTGGAATTTGCGTCAGCGTCCTCCTCTTCAGTTTTCAATTTCAAATTTGCCCTCCCTTGTTCTGCCAAGTAGAATGTTTTTTGTCGGTGCCGTCTCCTCTCCTGGTGGACCAACTTCAGTCATTGGAAGTTGCTCCACTGCAAATTCTTCTTCTCCATTTTGTGGTAGACATAGTGGTGCCTACAATTGGGGAGTGGATGAGTTTTTTTTTGTTTCTTTGATGATCTCAACATTATAACTAAACAGAATGGGAAGGAATGAAAAAAAATGCAAGAGCCAAAGAAATGAGAAATTGCAGAAAATTGGAAGAAAAAACGAGAGAGAGGAAGGTGTTGAATCCTGTTTTGAGAAAGAGAAGCTGAGAGAAATGTGTTTTGCTTTTCAAATTTTAAATCAACTTCTCTTTATTATACTAACCACCAAATGTTTAAATCTTTTTACCCTATCGTTTTTGCTGCTTTAATTACATTTAAGTGTGCCATGTCATAATTTTTAACCCCCAAAAAAAAAAAAAAAAAAACCATTTGAGGCCATTTGTGTTAATGCAAACGTGGGATGTCCGGAGTTAAATTTTCTCCTACAAATATGATGTTAAGATAATGAATTTCAAATAGTTGAATATGTTGAAGCAATATTTGAATCAGCCAATGAAAAAACATAGTATAAACCACAAGGCAATAAGCATGTGGCGGTTGGCGGGCTAGAACAGACGGTGGAGGTGTGGATCGATTTGAATGTTATCATGTAGAAATCATATGTAATTTTTGATACATGGCATCGTCTCGTCGTCGTCGTCTGTTAGATCGTGGAGAACGGCGTTTCTGACATAAGGGATGAAACCTCAAGCGGTGCTCCTGCCGGCACCTCAGTTGATTCAACTTGTTCACAATCTTATCTTCGCCATTCCCATTCTCTCATCTCGCTGCCTTCGACCTTCCTCCTCACGAGGTATTTTAATTAGATTTACATATTAAATTTTTGTTCATCATTACTTATTTTTGTGTGGTAAATGTAGGTCACCTCCGATGTGTTGTTTTACTGGAATTGGTGGCAAATGGGTGCCTGTAGATATGGAGAAGACATCACTCAAACATTTACGCTTACTTGCCACTGGTGTGCAATTACTTTTTCTGAATTCAATATTTTTATAATCTCTCTGCACAATTTGTTCTTCTTAATATATTATTTTTTTCGTCCCAGATTCACGGCATATGTCATCGTGTTTCCTTTGAATTCAATTCCTTCTCCTATTGTCATCCTGACTCTTCCAAAACATGGTTGCTTTTTTCTTGGGTCAAGGTGTTCCCAGAGCTGTTTATTCGCCTAACGCTACTACATTTAAACCTGTATGGAATGTCTAGAGACTATAAGGTTTGTTTATTCCTCATTGTTTGCTGTCATTTTATTTGTCATCACTAGTGTGATATTCTTATTTAATAATTGTATAATTGTTCATGCTTTTGAAGTAAATTCTGACACTCTTGTTATAACGTTACTTTACAGGCGTCTACCAGTGTATATCAAGGAAAATTCTCGCCTTAGAAAATATTCAGTTAATAAAATTCCTTCTGCACATCTTGAATGCTTTCATCCAGAATTTTTGTCGACTTATATAATTCAAATGCCAAAAAACGAGATCTAATGCTGAAATGGGAAAGGTTTCCAGATTCACTTGTTTATGGGAAGATCATACTCTTGCCTTTCTATGCTTGCTGAAGCATTCTAAGGGGGGTCTTTTTTTCGTTGACATTTGGCAGTCGACAATTGAGGATGCATACTCTTCGCCGCTTGGTTTAAATAGTATAAACAAGTCGTTTACATGCATGTCTGTGTTTTTTGATGGTTCTTAGGAAAGTAATGGATGTGCTCGCATCTAAGAGTGTGCTGTGGAAGGGCAGCATTTTGTCCAGGTAAAAGCTCTTCCCTCTTCCCCCATTTTCTTTCATCAGTGAAAGGAAAAGGGATATGAAAAAGGATAAGAGATTTACTCCATAATTTTCTTGCGGATATATTCAATTTTAAGAGATGTGGCAGTTCATTGCTGCAGGTTTTTTATTCATCTCTAATGAATTGTATACATCTAGTTCTTACAGATCCAAAAGGTTCCCTATCTGCCATGTAAGTTTGTTATTTGAGTTCAGTATTCACTTAATTTGTTAATAGTGGTGCAGTGATGTTCTGTACGCATTCTTAATAATACATTATACAGGTGTAGGTTTGTAGCAGCATAAAATGTTCTTTTTTAGGCCTTAATATTAGACCTCAAGTTAAATCTCCAGCTGTTGGCAACAACATGCCTGACTTAATGAGCCATAGTTTGACTTTGGAAGAGCCAAAAAAGAAGATAATAAAACTCCTATAGGCCTCCAACTTGCGCAAACAGGATGGCTTAAATATCAAGCGGCCAAAAGCTCAGGATTCTCGAATTTCCGCTGACCATGAATCTTCTACGTTGATTTCACATCACGATTCAGATTACAGTGACAGTGATGGATCACTTAAAGACCCTGATAGTGTTCAGAGTTCTAAGGTCAGAGTAGCTGAATTGTTTGCTTGCAGGTGAGTTCAAAACACATATGCTTTGACCCATTTCCGGTGTTCTGATAATTCAAAGCTATTCTGATATGATAGGCTTTTTCTAGGTGACTTTAGAATGTCCCAAATTCAAATTCATACTAAATAATGGCAAATAACTTTTGACAGAAGGAATGATAAGTACACTCATAGCACGCTATCTGGAAAGTGGGCCTAAACTTGGTCAGAGGACTTGAGTCTTGAGTCTTATTGTAGAGAAAAGTTTCTGGAATATAGAAGAATGTGCCTGTGTTTTGGGTCATCTTAGGAAGGATCTGTAGTTCAGCTTTTCTTACCCACTTATATGTGTTAAGTTACATTGATTTTCTAGGTGTTTGGGATATTTTATCTTTAACTGAATTAGCTGGGGAAATTTATTTTGCCATTGAATCTAGCGTGGACTGATATTTTGGTCTAGGTAAGTAGTGGATATTTCTCCTCTGAATCTTAGCTGCTTCACCATTTATGTCTTTACCACTTTAGATTACATCTTGTAGAAAATAAGGAAGAAGTTATTAGGAATTCAAAGGATTGTAGGAGATTTCCAATTCCTTTTGTGTATTTGAGGCAAGAATCACAGTTTTAATTAAAAGGCTCTTGCTTCTGTGTAATCATGTTCATATCATAGTTGTACTATTGAACTTGAATAGCATCAAATTTAAGTTCTCCATGTGGTTTGTCTGATGTGCTTGGTAGAGTTGGCATTTTGGAGTCGTATTCAATGTATTCTTTTACTGTTGAAAGCTTTTAAACGGCAACCTGTTTGTAAACTTTAACTTTCTAATTTAAATTGTCGCTAACCTGTGTGCTTATCGCTTCTTTTTCTTTAGTTAGTTAGTTAAGGTTTGCTGCTTCATTTCTTTTGAACTATTTTCTTGGCCAATATGTACTCTTTATTTACTCAAGATATGTTTGATGTGATTTTGTTGGGAAGACTATTGTGTTTGTTAGTTTTACCTTTTCAGTTTGTTTAGTATGCTTGAATTTCTGGATAATGTTCAATTAGCTGGTAGCAAATCCATAAAAATTTCCAAGAATACTTCTAATCTATTTTTTTTACTGGTTGAAGGATCTTTGTCAAGCTGATCCTAAATCATTTTCTAGCCAATGGACAATTCTTCTGCCAACTAATGACGTACTACGACCAAGGTGAAACATTGTACTTCCTCTATTTCTTTTGAGCTCTAATTTTTTTGTCCAATCAAAGTTGTCTGATTTATCCAGTTATTTCATAATGCTTGCTTATTTGCAGGAAGTTTGAAGCAACTCTAATGACATGCTTACTATTTGATCCTTACTTAAAGGTACTAGTTCTTTTGTTTATAGGTAGTGTCTGAAGTAGAGTGGTTTTTGTTGGTCACGTTTTACTATCAAGGCCCCATAATTAATCTTGATAACTTTGTCTCTTGCATGCTGCTGTATGAAATGTAATTTCGGTGTTGCTTGTTCCTTATGTATGCTACTTTGTTGTTTTTAGGCAAGGATGGCATCTGCCTCAACTCTGGCGGCCATGATGGATGGGCCTTCATCTATTTTCCTGCAGGTAGCAGAATACAAGGAATCTTCTAAATATGGATCTTTCATGGCGCTTTCAAGTTCTCTTGGACAGATACTAATGCAACTGCATAATGGTACTTGGAAGATATTGTCTTTATGATTCCGTCATTTTCGTGCAAACATTGGTCCTGTTTAGTGCTTTCTATTGATGCTTTATCTTTACTTTTCACATGCTTGATTCTTATATTTGTTTTTCTTTTTTCATTTTATTTTGTAGGTATTATATACTTAATCCAACGTGAAAGTCATCATAGATTGCTGACATCCCTGTTCAAGATTCTTATGCTTTTGATATCTTGCACACCGTATGAATCCTTCTTCTCATAGTTATCTCATTCTGGTTAAAATGATCAGTTTTCCTTGATCATTTACTTTCACTTCAATGCTTTCATTGCATTTATGATGTTCTTATGATGTGGAATTTGTCTTGTGGGCACTCTAATTTTTCATACATGTTAGAGAAAATGTTGTTAATAACTATGGCATTGGAATTTCAAATTTGGAAACTCAGTAGCATCATGTGACAGTGGCGAGTTGTGGATAGATCTGTCCTCACTTTCCTTTGGGTTTTGGTTGCTAATAAGTTAATATTGAAGTAAATTACCCTTAATCGCTTAAGCGATCCCGTCTATTTAACCTTGGGCTACAGAGTACAGAGCAAATGGTTGCAGAGTTCAATTTTATATCAATATTATATTTTTTTATATTACTTTCTTGCCAAGAACTAACAAAAATAATAGAATAACAATATATTTTTTAGTTTTATTTACGGTGCTGATTGACAAAGATCGAAGTGTTCTTTTCACATTCTATTGAAATGAAAAAAATAATTAATAATAATGAATAATTAATAAAAAAGGACTAAATATTAAATAAACATTATGGAATATAATTTCTCACCGAAGTATATCGCTTACTGTATCGCTTAAGCGATCCAGTATATCGCTTAAGCGATCTAAAGCGATCTAGTACAAATAAGTTTGATCGCTAAAACGATCTACTGTCATATACCAGACTTATACCAGATCGCTTAAGTGATCTTTTGTCATATACCAGACTTATACCAGATCGCTTAAGCGATCTGGTACTAGACTTATACCAGATCGCTTAAGCGATCCATCAGATCCAAAACACATTTTCAGCCATCTCCACCTACAATCGGTGCTATCACCCCTACCTACTCACAATGCAAGAAAATATTCAATAAATTTCACTCATTTCAACTTGCATTACATCAAACATAACCCAACAACTTGAACAACTAAATCAAAATCATAACCCAAACCCCATCCATTATTAAATCTTTGTAAATCTAAATATAAAATGTAAAGAGGAGATACATATACTTAGACGAAATTTCAGGAAAAGGAGGAGGTGGATCTTTGGTGGAGAAGATGTTAATGGTGGAGAAAGAAGAAAGTGTTAATGGCAGAGGAACAAGAAGATATAGAGGAATGAGGAAGAAGAAGATGTAGACGAAGGAGGAAGAAGAAGATGTAGACGAAGAAGAAGATGTAGACGAAGCTAAGAAGAAACAACAACCAAGGTAGAGATGCGTTAATGGCGGGAGGAAGAAGAAAGTGTTTGGGTTTGTTTGCAAGAATTTCAGGTTTTTGGGAATATAGTATAATTTTTAAAAGATTACATAATACTTCATTAATCCTAATTAAGCACTAATCAAGTTTAATTACCCTTAATCAATAATAAGGCTGTTTAGTTAACACTTTAAAACTTCATAACCTTTTAATTAAATTTAAACTTGAGATGGCCTTTAATAAACTGCCCCCCGATGAACTGGTATGGATCATCATTATTTGATGAGTAAAACGACCTTTTCCCACCCAAGGTTTGGCGTAAGCCCTTTCCACCCGAAAAGTTTAAAAACGACACTTTTCCACCCATAGGGTAGATCATAAGTCAAATCCATTATATAGAAGAGTAATACTATACATACAAATAAATTTTACAAAGATCACCATATAAAGTGAGGTAGTAAAAAATGAATGAAAGAGTAAACTGAATGAGTTTGACTTTTTGTTTCACTCTTTCATTCATTTTTTGTTATCTTACTTTGTATGAAAATCTTTGTAAAATTTCTTTGTAAGTATAGTATTATTGTATAAAGAATGGTAGAATAGTCAAATATCCATTATGAAGAAGGGCAGGAGATCAATTTTACATGAAGCCGCAAAAATCAAAATTAAAAAAATGAAATCTCAGTCCGTGTAGCTTCGCCTGAATGGTTGCTACGTGTTCCACTAATAAAAATTTACTCATGTTCTTTGTAACGAAAAGTCTGACTTCCCATTCCTTTTCTTATCTTCTGCCTGTTAATCTAATTTTTGTTTCTTAGATGTAAGAAAAAATATTCCTTAATTTTTTTCTACTTAACATCTACTAGTCAACAATGATTTGAAGAAAATATGGATTCTTGGGTATTTGAAAATTGAAAAATGATTCAAAACAAATTGCATGCTACTTAGGACACCACTGCTGGCAGCTAGCCAACCATCATAGGAAGTCATCGCTGTGTGTCGATATGGCCATTTCTGACCATATTGATGACCAGAAACTGCTAGATCTATTTTGGCCACTTTCGGTCGGTCGTGCACCATTTCGACGATGGCTGGCAATGGTGGCCGGCAATCGATAGTGGCTTGGGGTGGGTGGGGAGATTTTGTTACAAATTAAGTGTTAATAAATGAAGGGTTTAGTAAATTTCAAATGTAGGGGGTTAAATGAAATAATTGAAAAAGTATAATAAAAAATATTATATTAATATTTAAAAAGGAGGGCAATTTAGTAAATATAAAAAATACCGATAATTTACTCCTTTCGACCAAACATATTAATATGACATACCCACCAATTGATTCCAACCAACCAAACGTATTTCTCTAAACATTCTCAATAACCTTCAAGGTAATCTATCTTTCCATTAATATAACATTCCTAGTAATATAGCATTCCCTGAACTAAACACACTCTTTATTGCATAATCAAATTTGTTCCCACTATTGTATTCGAGTTCTTCACTCCCTTAGATAGGATCCAGAAATTTTCGTTGGATTAAATTTCTTAGCAGGGAATCAATTTCTTATTAAATTCAATTAACCTCATAAAATAGAAATCTTGATCAATTAAGTTTAATAAGTAGGAAGCTATATTCATTTTATATCACTATATAAGATTTGATTCATATTCTTTGTCCTAACTTTAGATACCTCACATAATAAACATCTTGGTACCCTAGGCTAGTTAGATCTGAACCATTATACTTTCTTAATATGACACTTTCATCATATCCTCAAATAATAGAAATCTTGGTCAAGATGAAAACATTCATCCAAGAACAAGATCAACTTAATTTTATGACATAAAGATTATATCCCTCACATAATAGAAATCTTGGGATATTAAAATTTATGTTAAAGAATTTAGTTATCCCATAATAGAAGACTTGGATTTAATAATTTTAATTAGGGAGATTTAGGTTTAACTTTAGTTAATTTTAACATGTCATGTTTAATATACATTGCATACATATCACATTTTTGCACAAATCAAAGCATGTGGGTTGATCATGGGGTTTTTCGAAAATACATCCTAAAGGTAAACTATTTATCCTAATCTTATATCTTCGATCGGATCGTCATTTGAATGCTCTTCATGTTTTTATCTAGCCGATTCAATTACAAATTGGATCTTAGGCACGCAGGCTCGATTAAAATAAATGAACAAATAAAAATTGATTATTACATGTCATTTAATAGAAGAATATTACAAAATCCTTTTGAATATTTTTTAAAACCAGATGACACCCATGATCAACCCTCTATCTAATATTCATCCATCATTTAAATAAATATTAATCTATCCATACCATATAAAATAAACAATTATTTAAAGGCATGAATACAAATTAAATGCATAAATACATATATTTTAGCATCTATTCATATATATGTATATCTCATATGCATATATTCACATGTATGAATAAATATATTGTATATGCATGTGGTAATATTTTAAAAAAGTGGGGCATGCAACAATTGCATCGTTTTTAAGGAATTTTAACATAAAACCAATTTTGTCATTTTCCATCCAAAAAGAAAATAATAATAATAATAATTTACTTATTTATTTAATAAACATCATTTCAAATGAATTCAAAAATCATGTAATACCCACATTAGGAAATATGGTAGGGATTATTTTATAGTCATAGTGAATATATTTAACTAGTTTTATAAAGGAATTCCATAAAAGTTTCACTAGGGGCAAAATGGTCATTTCACACAGAATCACGTGTTCAAGTGAATAGTGAGTACAATAAATATAATGTATTAAGTGTGCTAGCCATGAGAATAGCGTGGTAGAAAGGTTATGGACAACACACGTGATGTGATGTCAAGATAAATACGTGTTTGTAAAGTAATAGAAAGAAATGAAAGAATAAAGGTAAAATGGTCTTTTCACTCACAACTAGATGAAAAAGTAGGGAGTGAAAATGACCAAGAACATGTGTTAAATCCATTGAAAGTGAGGGTATATCAATAAATGCAAGTATGACATAATAAAAATTATCATAAAAGTGCAAGGGCAAAATACACACACACACACACACACATATATAAGGTTGCAATAAACTAAACCCTAGCCATTCTATCCCTTGTACACGCCACCCCTCACCCATTTTTCTCTCAAATTTCTACACCAAATTTCAAAGAGAATTCATAGGATTTGGTTGAAATTTTTGTAGCTTTTCAATCCTAAAGCATCCAAAGGTTAAAGAGGAAGAGCGTTTTAGCAAAGGGGGGTTATATCATTAGTGTTGCACAAATTCAAGGTAAGTAAATCCAATTTTAGTTTTGATTTGAGCAATAATTGTGTAGATTGATTCTTGTATATTTGTATATGATTGTATGGTGGGAATTACTAGCTGTTTTGATGTTGAATGATGTGTAAATTTCCAGCCATGAGAAGTAGTGCTTGAGTATGTGGTGATTTGGATGAAATATAGAAGAATTAGTGATGAAATTTTGAAGTGTTGAAAATTGTTAAAACTGGCCAGATTTAAAGCTAAAGTTAGTGAGTTTTTGCTCCAATTTTGGTGGATTTGGAGAGATGTGGAAGTGTGGCCAACTAAGTATTTGTATGTGCATATGAATTGTTTGATGAAATTTCAAAGAGAAATGCATGCATAAGTTGGTTAAATCTTATTGAAGAAATTGTTAGAGAAAGGAAAGAATTGGAGTTGAAAGGTTATGTTAGGCTTAACCAAGTGTAAGTTTTAGTATTCAAGAGCGCATTTTGTTATGCCA